GAGTGGGTCTGTAACAATACTCATTAAAATCTTTCCTTGTGAAAGAGACCTTATTGATTACAACATAGCTTTGAAAATTGTATGATTGTGTGGATTATTTTAAATCAGGTCAGCAAACTTTTTCAGCAGGGGGCTGGTCCGCTGTCCCTCAGATCTTGGGGGGAGTGGACTATATTTTTTGGGGGGGGATGAACCAATTCCTGTGCCCCACAAATAACCCACAGATGCATTTTAAATAAAAGCACACATTCTACTCATGTAAAAGCATGCTGATTCCCAGATTGTCCGCAGGCCGGATTTAGAAGGCGATTGGGGTGGATCCGGCCCCCGGGCCTTAGTTTACCTACCCATGTTTTAAATAGGCTTACATTTGAAAAGAACTCTTTGAGAGATTTTGGCTTTAATTCTATGCACTCTTACCTGGAAGTAAGTCCCACTGAAGTCTGAGGGGCTTGTCTGTAAGTATACAAATCTAGGACTGTGCTGTTTATTTAATTTTCAGTAGGGATGGGGGGAGTTGATTCAGTTCACATTTAAAGGTGAATCTGTAAAATTCACACTTTCTGAAACAAAAAGTGAAGCAAACACCTTATCCTCTGAATGTTGCACTAAATGCTGAATTTTCGTTTTTCTTTTTTTAAGTATAAATCGCTGCAGAAATGTGGAATTTAAGGTTGGGTGAAAGAGGAGCTGAGAGGACCAAGATTGACAATACCTCCATCCCAAGTTTATTTTTAATGAGCACATATTTGTTTATAAAGCAGAATCAAATATTATTAGAATGGGAGACGAAAGATGAAGAGGTAAAATCAGTTATGATTAAATGGGCACAAGATGTAGGCCACAACATTATGATGGAAGATTGGGTTAAATTATGGAAAACTTACTTAAAATTTACAGATTGTTCCCTATTGAAGGAGAATTACATGAAGATGATGTACAGATGGTACACAACACCAGTGCAGTTAGGGAAAATGTACAAAACTAGTTCAAACATATGTTGGAAGTCAAAACAAAAAAAAATTCCTTCCAGTAGCACCTTAAAGACCAACTAAGTTAGTTCTTGGTATGAGCTTTCGTGTGCATGCACACTTCTTCAGATACACTGAAACAGAAGTTGCCAGATCCTTCTATATAGTGAGAAGGTGGGGAGGGGTATTACTCAGAAGGGTGGTGGGAATGGGTGATTGGCAGATAGCTGTGGTGAGCCTGTTGACGACTCTTAACGACTGCAATGGGTCTTACAGGAAAAAGCAAGGGGTGAGAAGGTGAAAAATGGCTTTGTCATGTATAATGAGATAAGAATCCAATGTCTTTGTTCAGACCAGGTCTCTCCATGGTTTTAAGTTTCGTAATGAGTTGCAATTCAGCAGCTTCTCTTTCCAGTCTATTTCTGAAATTCCTTTGTAGTAAAACAGCTACTTTGAGATCTTGTATAGAATGTCCTGGGAGATTGAAGTGTTCTCCTACTGGTTTCTCTGTCTTGTGATGTTGGAAGTGTAAGGAAAAGGAGGGAACATTTTATCATATGTGGTGGGATTGTAATGTAATCAAAAAATTTTGGGAAATGATATACAACGAATTGAAGAAAATGTTCCATTTAACATTTGTTAAAAAACCCGAGGCATTTTTGTGGGAGATTGTAGGGAAAGACCTGCCAAAAAAGTTGAAAAACATCTTCATGTATGTGACAACGGCCGTGATAGTTCTGGTAGCACATGGATGGAAGACTGAAGAAACCCCAACTAAAGAATCATGGCAAGAAAAATTAATGGACTATGCAGAACTGGCAAAATTGACATATAGACTACGAAATAAGGATAACTGTGACTTTAAGGATGAATGGGAACCTTTCACAAAGTATTTGAAGATGCAACAAAGCGAACTGGACTCCTTGGCAGGTTTTGAATAAACATTCACAATTTTTTACTGATAATAATTAGCTAAACAGTTGGAGGATCTATACAACTCTGTAACATGCAGAAAATAGCATTATTGGAGAAACCAAAGACTGGAACTGAGGGAAAATATGTTTTGTTATAACTTTGAATAAAATATATATATATATCCCGTGTAAGTGGTGCTAGGGCGTTTCGAGAGTCTCACTCGTCATCTCAGGCTTGTGCTTTCGTCTGTTACTAGTTCCATACAAGAGCGAAAGCACAACAAAAGACCGTGAGACCTCGCGAAAGTCGCCTAGACACCCCCCACTTTGCACTGCATTTAATATGGTATATATTTGAATAAAATTATATATATATATAAATCTCAGAATCAAAACCTGCATTTCCACTTTGCCTTCGGAAGAATTTTTACTCTTTATTTGTTTATTTGATTTGCTCCATTTTCTGGAGTTTCTGTGTCACCCTGTGTATAGCTCATAAAATCCCCTCACACGACCTGGCTCTGCACCCTTTCGGATCCTCTCGGTCCCTGTGTCTCAGTAAGGTGGTGGGGGAAAACATTTTGAAACATGTTGAGTATTTCACAAAGTTTAAGCCCTTCAGATAAAAGAAATTGTAAAAACTATGTACAAGGGTTTCATGGAGTGCCTAGTACTTCTAAATTTGATTTGCTCTTTAAAATGTGTTTATTGTTTCTTCAAATATGCAGCCCATAAACCTGGATTCTGTAGATGCAGTAAAGTGAGGAAGACACTCTCCTCTGATGTGATAGCATCCAGAGGATCTGAGAGGCAGGTATAGTATTTCCAAGGGTGAAAAGTTATTAAAAGTTATTAAAGTTATTAAAAATCTAGGTTTAATCCAAAATAGATTTTACTGTTAATAATAAATATTAGACAAATGCCTTGTGGAGGGATTAACCTCCCTCCAACTACATTGGTTCAGAACTAATGCAGTTTCTGAAGGAATAATTGATATTATATAATCATAACAGCCACTTTATGTCATCAAAGTGACACTTACATTCTCCCACTAACCAGCTTAACATCATCAGTTAATACACCACTTGGTTAATGACATTTTAGTAACAGGAATATATAATGAAATAGAACATCAGATTTTTATGAGAAAGGCCTAGGAGGAAAGGGGTGGTTTGACAGTGATAGTGGTGTTAGAAGACGCAAAAGCCAACATTTTCCATCATATGCTCAGAGGAAAAAAAATAGGTTGCAGTCCTATAACACTTACTTGAAAGTAAGCGCCATTGAATTCAATGGGACTGAGACAGGGAGGGGATAACTCTGCATCCGCTTTCTAGTTGGTAGTTCCTGGGGTTCTAGTAATAAACAATGTGCATTTGATAAGCTGCATTTGATATACAGCCTGATCCTATGGACAGACTTTAGCTGCTGAAGCTGAATCCTATGCCTGATAAATGCTTCAAGTGCATTATTCCCATAAAGGTAAAGGTACCTCTGATCTAGGTCTAGTCCCGGACGACTCTGGGGTTGCACGCTCATCTTGCTTCATAGGCCGAGGGAGCCGATGTTTGTCCGCAGACAGCTTCCAGGTCATGTGGCCAGCATGACTAAGCCGCTTCTGGTGAACCAGAGCAGCACACAGAAACACCGTTTACCTTCCCACCAGAGCGGTACCTATTTATCTACTTGCACTTTGACGTGCTTTCGAACTGCTAGGATGGCAGGAGCAGGGACCAAGCAACGGGAGCTTACCCCAAATGCTGACCTTCTGATTGGCAAGCCCTAGGCTCTGTGGTTTAGACCACAGCGCCACCCGACGACATAAATAGGGCCCACCCCTTTTGTGTTAGCATCCTACACTTTTAGAAAGGCCCATAGGGCATTGTGCAAGAAGTAAAAGACAGGGGAGCATCTTTGGGACTTAACCTATTGGCAGGGTGTGTGTGCGTGTGTGTGTGTGTGTGTGTGTGTGTCAAAAATTGCCCTTGTGCTGCGCTTTTATTAATAAATTTGACTCTTAATCGTCAATAGCTCATTTTTAGACTGACTTCCCGCACAAAACTGTTGACATATGTGCCATATTTCGCATACGGAAGGCAATACAGCGCTCTTATTTCTATTTACATCTATGGACTTACTTACTGTGGGGTTTTTTCAAGGGAATTGTAAATGTTAAAGGTGCTCAACATGATGATGCTTAGAATTGTATTTCCTCGGTGATAAAGCTTTCAGTAAACAGGTTATGCATGCCATCTTCCATGCAGACAAGAGATGATTCACTCTGGAAGATATGGCCTGAATTCTCGATGACTTATATCTCAGAACTGCATGAACTAACTCCACAGTTGCTTTGCCCCCCCCATGTGTCATTTTAGCAAATGCAGTGCACATTTTAATGTACTGCACAAACGGTGCACTTTTAAAACATGGTCTTGTTCATTCCCCTCACCCCTGCTGTTGCACAAAACATCCTGAAATCACAAATTGAATTTTCTCTCATTCTGAAATTTCAGCAGGCTATTTTTTTAAAAAAAAAAGTCGAAAAGTTATTGCTTTTTTTTTAAGAATCAGCAGCGAATGCTCTCTAAATTAAAACAGAGCAGTGTAACAATTTTGTAACAAAGAATGTTGGTGTTTATTCTGGGTAAATGTGTTGTTTTTAATTACAGTAGAGTGAATTTATCACCACAGAGCGAGTTTATCTGTAATGTTATATTACACTCACAAATGTTTGGGAAGCCTACAGTATGTGCACACAAGTCTTAATTCAGAGGGGGAGCTATGCTAGTGATGGAGAAAAATCCCAGTTCCAGTTTCATCTCTGTTTCTCATTTTTCCTGTCTTCGGTTCTTCACATTTATGGGCCTCATATTAGCATTGTTATACAAAACATCTCTGGATATAGCTGCTACCTTATATGTGCAAGGGGAGAAATGAAGCACTTGAAGCACCCTTATATGATAGAGAAATAGATCTGAAATGTGCTCCGTCACAATAAGCCTGGCAAAAGATGTAGGCCCTGATCTATCTGTGCATGTGTGAACTGTGTTGCTCAACAGTTCGTTGAGAAAAGAGGAATAGGAAGAAAAGCCAAAATCAGGTCCACTCTGTTCTCTGTTCTCCTTCCTTAAAAGGTAACTGGCCTTGTTATTGATTTTCTAAAAGGCCTCCACATGCACGGTCCTAGAAGCTGGATTTGAGGAGAGGGGGGTTCCATATATACTACAGTGGTTGCATGTGTACGTTTCCAGTTCATCTTCCTCAAGCCTTCTTTCACATGTGCAGGACCCCTGGCTAGATGGTTTTGGGGGTTTTTTGTTGTTTTTTTGTTCTTCCTGCAATTAGAAACAGGAATGATTTCATTGGGGATGATTTCATATCCATCTGCATAGGTCTTCTACTGCTATAATTGACTGAGAAATCATCGCAGAAAATCCCATTAGCCATCATTCCATCACAGGATACAGTCACTTGGCTGGAAAACAAACACTCACCTAAAATGAAAGGAAAACAATGAAAGTGGAATTTGAAATCTCAAAAGGCATCTCTGTGTTTCCTGACAATTTTCTTGCTGAGTTTCGAATATTAAAACCCTCCCAGTTGTTAAATAAAGAATGATGAGAAAAAGCATGCATTTTAATTTCCACTGGGAATATGTGTGGTGTGAGACAATTGTGTTATTACTTTTGTTTTGAAACGCGCACTCAGTGCCGTAATGAGTGGGAGACAGGTGGCGGCGAACAAATAAGCTGGAACAATGAAGTATACCTTGAAAAACAGTGCTGTTTTGGGTTTCACATAACTTACTTAACCAGACAAGCCCTTTACTAAGTGCAAAAATCTCAGTGATCCTGGTTCTGAATATATTTGCTTTGCTTTAGGAAAGCTTTCCAGAAAATATTGCATCCAGATTGGTAACAGTACTTTGAGCCATGCAGCAGACTTTTAAGAATTTTGAAACAAAACTAACACAGCAACCCTAACCCCACATATGTGGTAGTAAGCAGTTTACCTTCCCGCTGGTAAGCGGTCCCTATTTATCTACTTGCACCCGGGGGGTGCTTTCGAACTGCTAGGTTGGCAGGCGCTGGGACCGAGCAACAGGAGCGCACCCCGCCACGGGGATTCGAACCACCAACCATGTGATCGGCAAGTCCTAGGCCGACTGCCCAGTGGCGCTCCGGTGCCAGGAGAACCCCGGAGCCAAAACTGGGAGATGGAGGAGAGGAGAAGGAAAAGGAAGAGAGAGAAAGAGGAAGGAGAAAAAAGAGTGGAGCCCTGACCTTGCCACACCACTGCCACCACCACTGAGGAGGAGAGGTAGGAGAGCACCGGGAGGGCAAGGACACGTGGCCAAGCCCACGCCCAACCTGAGCCTACTCCATGGCAGCTAGCTCTCCAAGAGAGCAGGCCAGGGCCCAGAGGAAGGCTGCGTGACAGAGGAGACCACAGAAGATATTAAAGGTAAAGGTAAAGGTACCCCTGCCCGTACGGGCCAGTCTTGACAGACTCTAGGGTTGTGCGCCCATCTCACTCAAGAGGCCGGGGGCCAGCGCTGTCCGGAGACACTTCCGGGTCACGTGGCCAGCGTGATAAAGCTGCATCTGGCAAGCCAGCGCAGCACACGGAAACGCCGTTTACCTTCCCGCTAGTAAGCGGTCCCTATTTATCTACTTGCACTTTAGGGGTGCTTTCGAACTGCTAGGTTGGCAGGCGCTGGACCGAGCGACGGGAGCGCACCCCGCCACGGGGATTCGAACCACCAACCATGTGATCGGCAAGTCCTAGGCCGACTGCCCAGTGGCGCTCCGGTGCCAGGAGAACCCCGGAGCCAAAACTGGGAGATGGAGGAGAGGAGAAGGAAAAGGAAGAGAGAGAAAGAGGAAGGAGAAAAAAGAGTGGAGCCCTGACCTTGCCACACCACTGCCACCACCACTGAGGAGGAGAGAGGAGAGCACCGGAGGGCAAGGACACGTGGCCAAGCCCACGCCCAACCTGAGCCTACACGGAAACGCGTGTTACCAGCGTGATAAGCTGCATCTGCGAAGCAAGCACAGGAAAGCCGTTTACCTTCCGCTAGTAAGCGGTCCCATTTATCTACTTGCACTTTAGGGGTGCTTTCGAACTGCCAGGTTGGCAGGCGCTGGGACCCGAGCAACGGGCAGCGCACCACCCGCCCACGGGGGATTCGATACCACCAACCATGATGATCGGCAAGTCCTAGGGCGCTGGGGTTTTTACCCACCAGTGCCACCCCGGTGGTAGCTAAGCCCCATTAAATGCAGTGGGGTTACTTCTTAGTATCGAATATGGTTCAATGGACATTACTACTACTACTACTACTACTACTACTATGAACCAAGATTCAAATGGCTGAACAATTAGTTTTGCATGTCCAATGGGCCTTTAAGCTTATGTTCCTTTTTTTAAAAGCAGCTTTCTGTACCACATATCACACCTGTTTTGAAACTGAGTGGGCTTTCGAAATGACCCCGTCTGTTTTGGTGTGTGCTCCTGCAGAAAATGTTTCCCAATATTTTTATAATTTTTTTATTGTTGAGCATTAAAGGTTTTCACTTGATAGTTTCCTCATAGGACGTTGGCAACCAAATCCACCTGTGCAGCTGTTGTTTTGCTCTGTTTGTCTTTGGAAAGCAGCTGTTATTGATCCTGGGTTTTTTTCTGATTTTTGAAAACACTCTGTGATATGGCATAGGAGCTTGCTGTGAGAAAAGGTTTTTAAAATGCCCTTGGGCACACCTAAAATAGTTCTTTAGATCCCTGGCCATTGTAAAATGTTGTCAACTTAATTGATATCCCTTTGAAAACTTGAACAATGGGGCAGTCCACTGACCTGGGCTTTAAAACCAGCTGGTGCTTGTTAAATATGTAGGAAAACTAGCTAGATCTCAAACCTTCAGCATAGAAATACTGGACATAAAATGGAACTCAAAAACTGTCAGCTCTTACACCCTACTGAAATTTTCATGGTTGATTGAGAATGAAAATAAGGAACTGTGAACGGTGGGACCATTCCTCTTTAGGCAAATGTGGTTCTGATCATCGTTATCAAATATGAAATTGCTATGAAATTAGTCCAACTTGGGTCTGCTGGAGAAAGTAGCACATCAGATACCCTCAAAGGGCCAAAATATGTGATTATTTGCTTTGGTGTATGAATTTATTCCATTCAAAATGCTTGACTAAGCATTTTTATGACAAACTAAGGTTGGAAACACAGCAGAAAATGGCCACCATCTCAGCTCTTAGCATGGGATGCAATGCCCCTTCCCCCCAAATATTAAAAAAATATCTAGAGCCAGGATCATGAGACCAGGTACACTGTTCGTTGAAGTGCTGGCTGAGGTCCCAGCTGTGCCTTCCATCTTCATTTTGTGCCTGGAACTTTGAGTGATGCTTCAATGGGCCTTGCACTCAGCTGCTTGACCCCAGCCATTAATTCTTTCTAAAGGGAGGGGGAGTATCCCTTTCTGCTGCTGCCTCAAATTTTGGGATGGGGAGCAGCATGACCAGGGGCAGCAGGGGTGGCCAACATTCTGTGGCAGCTATACACGCTGCACAATGTGTTCACCTCACTCACGCGCCTGAACACCCCACATATGATATTGGGATGAATGTACACACCATGGGCAACTGTGTGTAGCATACTATTTAACGCAAAATTTATATCCTGCCTTCCTGGGGGAAATCACACTTGTCTACATAGGGTTCCCAGGCAGTCTCCCATCCAGGCAGTAACCAGACACAGACCTGCTTAGCTTTAGCAGAGTTGATGCCTGCTGCGCCTTTGGACCATGCCCTGGGCCCATATTTACTTTCAGCTCTCCTCTGTCTCTTGCCCCCATCTCCATTTTGACTGCTCACTGGCTATGTTTCATGTTAACACTGAACTGTTTAATGTTGAACTGTTGGGATTGATGTGGCATTTTTTCCTTCTTCTTCTCTACACTGGGGCTGCTTCTTCAGCAAAGTAAAAGGAGTTTCAGTGTGAGAATCAGTCATTCGGATTTTTTTTCCTACCACTTAAAAAGCAAAAGGCTAAAAGGGTTGCTCAGATTTAGAAGAAAACCCCGCTAGAAGCACTTCTTTGTTATTTGGACTGAGAACAAAGTGGAGCCCTATCTTCCTGGCTAGGTAAAGGTAAAGGGACCCCTGGCTTTAGGTCCAGTCATGGCCGACTCTGGGGTTGTGGCGCTCATCTCGCTTTACAGGCCGAGGGAGCCGACATTTGTCCGCAGACAGTTTTTCGAGGTCATGTGGCCAGCATGACTAAGCCGCTTCTGGTGAACCAGAGCAGCGCACGGAAATGCCATTTACCTTCCCGCTGGAAGGTACCTATTTATCTATTTGCACTCTAACGTGCTTTCAAACTGCTAGGTTGGCAGGAGCAGGGACCGAGCAACAGGAGCTCACCCCGTCATGGGGATTCGAACCGCCGACCTTCTGATTGGCAAGCCCTAGGCTCAGTGGTTTAGACCAATTTCTTGGCTCATACCAAAGGCACTTTGCAGTGGGATGTCCCGCTTTCTCTTTCCTCCAACTCTCTCAGGGGATCTTTGCTTTAAGACCTGTGTTGTCTGTCATGTGAGAATGCTCACATATGTACAAGGATTCGGGTCCCTGCTATGTGCAATCCAATTTATTTATTTGCCTGCTTAAGTTAGGTGCAGCCTGCAATTTCATGTGTACACAGTAGGCTGCAATCTGTGTCCCTCATTCTGTTCTCTTCTGCCCTATCCATACACACTTTCCTATTTCAATGATACACACTAAGCAACTTCTTTCTTTTCTTTTTCTTTTCGACATTACATTTTTTTGTAGAGTCCAAAATGTGTGGGCTCTTACCAGTTGCAAATCCCTGGGGTTGTTAATGGTTAGGAATGTGTGACTTTGTAGATGTGTGTGGACGCTCTTATGAACTGTACCAAACCAAAAGCCGGAAGGGAAAGTTGAAAAGAACTTTGAAGACAGAGCTCAAGAGGGTGCAAAACAGTTAAGAGGTGCCCATGGACGCTGAGAGGCTGGCAGAAGCTTCTGACGTGCTGGGACCAGGTCTTCTCGGAGTTGAGTTGCTTGGGAATGTAGCCCAGAGCAGATGGTTGACTCTATCAAAGGCTAAATACTGGCACAAAACCTGATCTGTACCAAACCAAACGTACTACAAAGCAGATGTATAACATATAAACAAACTTTATCCAGCAAGGGAGTATTCTGAGATGCTGAATGCAAGTATACATAAGGCCGTGAAAGATTATTTACAATGGCCGGCGGTATCTCTTCCACTTATCTCTGTATTGCTTTTCGTAACTAAGTATAACCAGTTCATTTTTAGAGCCTCACAGAAATAAATACACAGAGAAACCCAGTTAACATTTGTTAAATTTAACTTTTAAAATATTCGTTTGAAACATTGAATGTGTTTTGTATAAAACTCTGTGCTTCAGAGACCTTATGTAAACTCTGTTGCAGCTAG